ATTGGGGGCCCTGCCAGTGAGGCTACGTGAAGGCGATGGTCTCCGTGTGCCTGGAAACCCTCATTCTCATTGGTGGGGTCTGGTGCGTCACTTCCCCTCCCAGAAGCTCCCTGCCATCAATGGTGGTTACTAGCAAGGGGAAATCCAGGGGCAGCAGGTGGAGCTGGTGCTCTAGTGCAAAGTCCTTGCTGAAGAAATTGCAGGAACTGCCTGAATCCAACAGCCCTTTCACCTTGACTGGGTGCCCATTCGGGAGTTCTAGCACCACTTCTATGGCTATAGCCGCCCTGGGGGGGTCTGGTTGGGGCACTTCTATTGGTTGCTGGCCTGGCTGCTGTGCCCGCTGAGTGGCAGCCAAGCGCTGGCGTTTCCCTGCTCCTGCCCCTTTACCATCTCCTCCTCACCCCCTGCAGCTCCCACCATCCCTTGCCAGGCCTTTCTTTGCGGGCAGACCCTGGCAAAATGTCCTGGCCGCTGGCAGAGAAAACACTTCTTGGTGGTTTTCCCATCCTTTCCTTCCCTCTTGCGACCTTCACTCGAGTTTGAAACCTCCCGCGCGGACACCCCATCTATTTCCATTGGCTCCGCCGGCGGGGAAGGCTGCCTTGGTATTTCAGGAATGCGGTAGTCATGGTAACATTGCTCTCTCCCTTCCCGCTTCTCCTGGGCCCGCGCTTCCTGCCTTACACCAATCGCAAGCACAGCCTTGGTCAGCTGATCCATCGACTGCGGGCGGGGTGCGCGGGAAAGTTCGTCCTTCACCGTTGGGGACAGCCCCTCCTCGAACAGCATTTGAATGGGTTCAGAGTCCAAATCCCACCCGAGCCGGTGGACTAACATAGCAAAGCGTGACCAGTAGTCTCTAACTGACTGGTTCCCCTGTTTGCAGCCCATCAGTTCCCGCCGAGTCCCACTTTGCTGTACATCACTGGAATACATCGCATCCATCGCCTGGAAGAATTTCCTCAGGTCCTTCAAGGCGGCATTCTGCGTTGCCATTAGGGGCCTGATCCATTCTCTGGCCCTATCCTGCAGATGTCCGACAATATAGACAACCCTCTTCCCATCGTCTGCAAAATCATTCTGTTGCAGTTCCAACGCGTACTCTATTTCCATTCGGAACGCACTGTAGTCCTGGGGTTTCCCTCCAAACTTGTGTACCAGTCCCGGTACCTTCCTTGCTACGGGGGTGGGTCTGACCTGAGCATCCTGAGCCCGCCTTTCATCCAGCCGCGCCGTCAGAAGAGCCACATGCTGTTCCAAATCTCGGTTCCTCGCCACCAGATTTTGCACTCCAGCTGCTCCCTCCATGGCGCCAGCTTCTCCGGTTTTGCTCATGATGCTGCCTGCCTGTCCCCGTGCACGAGCGACATCAGGGACTGACAGATTGCTGTAATGAGTATGGGTTGCTCGTGCGTAAGTTGCCGCCTCTCCTGGCTATGTTGCCTTGTTAAACCTTTCTGTCTGGACAGCCCTTCACTTCGTGGCTGCCTTAGTCGCTAGCAGAATCCGTCAGTGGGCGTTTCTTAAACCTTTTCCAACATAAAAGTTGTTTGACGCCAAGTCTCCTCCTACTCTCCCTGTGCGGAAGCCTTCTGCGCAGGGAGGGCGTGAGTAGCGGAGGACCCGTGCTCTCCCCGCTGGTGTCCGGTGAAGAGTCCTGGAGCCCTCTCGCCGATTCCCCCATCTGCCCCCCTTTATTCCTGGTGTTGCGCTGATTTGCTTCCCATCTGCTGAGCTGCCTCTCTCCCTGCTGGGCCCTTCTCCAGCATCATTTGAGAGCCTTCCCTCCGCCTCTAGCTCCGATGTCAGTTCCCTGACAATGACCTTTAAGAATTATTGGAGAACAGGTGAGGTCCCTACAGACTGGAGGTGGGCAAATGTTTCCATCTTCAAAAAGGAAGCCCCACGTAACTACTGACTGGTGAGCTTGACCAGGGCAGGTCCTAGAACAGATAATTCAACATTCAGTCAGTGACCATTTGGAAAAGGATGCTGTGATTACTAAGATCCAGCATGGGTCATGCCAAACAAAACTGATTTCTTATTTTGATGGAATTACAAACTTGGTGGATCAGAGAAATGCTGTAGACATAGTGTATCTTGATTTCAGTAAGGCTTTTAGCAAAGTCTATTGGCAAAACCTATTTGGTGTTTCGCAACCTTCTGACCAGTTGCAGGACCTTAGCCAGACCTAGAAGAGTACATGCAGAAACGACGGAAGCAATTGGCGACTTGGCTGCAGACAGGATAGATGAAGCAGGAGCCAGGAACTTGTAGTTAGGTGTTTATTATATACAGAGGACTATTTACAGGAACAGAACACAGATCTTTAGCTAGCTCTCTCATACACAACTCACAACTCCTACACTGACACACAGAACTCTGAACTCCAAACTCTGAACACTGAACTAACACATTCCAGTTAGTAGGCCATTAATTATCACTCCCTTGAGAGAGCTTGACCAATCAGGGAGCTGTCTCCATGTCTCTGTTATCAACAGGCAGACATACTCCTTCAGATTGCCTGGCTGTCTGCCAAACCTTAATTGACTCTGTGTGAGTAGCTGCATGTAGTTTCCCAACACCCCCTCACAGCTCATACACAGTGCAATTAACTTCTGAGGACATGCAGAGTATTTTACCCAACTTTGCTCTGCAAACCCAAGCATTCACACATTTGCTTGGTTTTTTTACAAACGGCCATCATCCGCCTAGCACACTTCCAGAGCAAGATAACTTTTCGCAGCATCAAGGTCTTTCATGTTGAACTCTTGTTTGTCATTAGAGCCACGCACATACAGGTAACTGTCTGCAGCGCTGCGTTGGAAACCTAAAGAAACTAGAGCCTCATCTAAACATTTGTTCCAATTTCTTGCAGATTGTTGTAAACCATACAGTGCCTTGTGAAGTTTGTACACGTTGCCTGACCCAGACTCAAAACCAGGGGGTTCTGCTAAATAGAGTTCCTCACTCAAACTAGCATGCAAATAAGCTGTCTGGATGTCAAAGTGGTTTACTTTTAACTTGTGTTTCACTGCAATTGCCAGCAGCAGACGCAAACTCTCGCTTCTAGCTGTGGGAGCAAACACTTCGTCAAAATCAAGCCCCGGGCTTTGGGAAAAACCTTGAGCCACTAAACATGCCTTGTACTTAAAATCCCCAGTGGCTAACGGCTTGAGCTTGTAAACCCAACTGCACCCCACTATTTTAGCTCCTTTCGGTGGTGGTGTGGGTGTAAACACTTCATGCTCAACTAAAGAGTCCATTTCCTCCTGCATAGCGCTTTTCCAGAGCAAAACTTGGTCCTCTGGTAACGCCAGCATCTCTTTGTAGCTTTGAGGTTCAACAGCTACATGAAAAACATTGACAGTACCAGGCTTAAAACGATCTGGGGGTACACCTTTATTCTCCCTCCAAGATCTTCTGGGAGTAAAACTGTCTTCGCTTTTACTGTCATCCCCCTCAGATTCTCGCCCCCCTTGAAGATATGGAATTCCTCCTTTGGCAAAAACTGACTACCATTCTCATTAGTCTCAACAGAAGAATCCTCCTCTGTGTCTGGTTTTCTTTTAGCTCTCAAAAATTCCCCCTTTGATATTTGAAACCAAACCTCAGAATTGGCATGCAGCTTCTCCCAGCCGCTATGCTCACAGAACATAGCATTTCTTGAAACAACCAGCCCATTTTTACCAACAGCAAACCTGTAACCTTTGCCCAAATCTTGGTAACCTACAAAAATAAGCTGTTGCGCTTTGGGATCACCCTTTCTCCTCTTAGCTCGAGGCACATGAACCCAGGCTTTTACACAAAAAGTACGCAAATGATCAACTTTGGGCTTTTTGTTAAACAATTTGAAATAAGGCGTAGTTCCAATTGATCGATGAAAAATGTGATTCTGTACATAAGACGCCGAAAGATAAGCTTCAGCCCAATAAGCTTTTGATAGACCAGCATCCTCAAGCATTGAGTGCACCATCTCCTGAAGACTTCTATTCTTTCGCTCACAGAATCCATTTTCTTACGGACTATAGGGGTTTGTCTTTCTATGCCCTTTGTCTTGTAACCAAGACTGAAAAGGTCCAGACATAAATTCGCCTCCTCAATCACTCTGCAATTTTCCCACCTTGAAAGAAAATTGCCTTTCAACATAGTTCACCCAGCTTTTGAACTTGGTAAACACTTCACTCTTCAGTGCTCTGATGGTGTTTCCTGCTTGGCAGGGGGTTGGACTCGATGGCCCTTGTGGTCTCTTCCAGCTCTATGATTCTATGATTCCATGATTCTATGACTCTATGATTCTATGATTCCAGCTCTATGATTCTATGATTCTATGATTCTATGGATCCCAAGCATGTCTATGATTCACCTTTGTGCTTCATGGGGTAGACCCAACAAAACTTTGTGGCATCGTGAATTACCCCTGCTGAGTGCGAAAGGACCCACCACGTCAGCATGCGCAAGCTGAAACGGTCTTTCGCTCACCCTTTCACTTCTGGGATAAGACCCACGGTGATTCTTAACTTTTTTACATACATTACAATCAAAGAATTTCTCACAATCCTGTAACACACACCCATCACTCAATTGTGGCATTTTGGTTACACTCTGCCAATGGGCATGACCTAATCAGGTCATGTCAGTCTCTATCAAGACCACTTTTCATGCAATAGGATGAAATCATGTGAAGAGTCAACCACAGAGATATGTTAGAGAAGCTGGGTGAAACACAGAGTAGAAATGGTTTTTCATGGCAATTACACCACCCACACTATGAACAGTTAAATGAAGATTGGAGAAAAGTTGTGAATAATTAAGAAAAAACTATGTCTAGCACTTCCTCTCCTTTCCCAGTTTTAACTAGGCCTCATAACATTGAACACTAAGTTGAAGTAGATCTGAAGGAACTAGATCTTGATTTGCTTTTCTAATTCTTTTAAGAAGCTGTTTACCAAAAATTGCACACAGCTGCACAATTGATTACAAAGACACAAATATGTATAAAAAGAGAAAAAGTTTATTAAAAGTTACATTCAGCAGCAATGGGCATATTTACTTAAGTAGAAACAGTTACTTTTTCTCTCTTAGGCTATAAATAAGACTTTCTTTGCTCTCCATGCCCATATTTGAGGCGTTATAGCAATCTGAGTTGCATTTAATAGCCATGCCCATACCAATATTCCTGCATTGCAGGAGGTTGGACTAGATGATCCTTGGGTCCCTTCCAACTATGATTCTATGATTCTAATGTGGGCATAAAAACAGTGATTCCCCTCCCAGCAACTTAATTAAGAAGTTGCAAGGATCTGATACTTTCATCATTATCTGAAGCTCCATAGACAGGAAACTACCCAAATAGTTAAAAGTAGAGAAGTTTCATATGAGGTATGCAGAGCTTTTCCTGACATGGGAATGAATGCAGAACTCCAGGGTTTGTATTGAAGCCCAATTGTGCATTGGAGTTGCTGGATCAGGACCTTAAACTTTTTGCACCCACACCTTGTACAAAATTACAGATTGATGCTTTAGGAAGTATTATTTATTTGTATGAAAGTTTCACTCACCCTGAAAATCCAGGCCCCACAAACTTGTAAAAAATTGACATTGTAAAAAGTGTCGCACATTTACAGCCTGAGACTATAGAAATATCTGTATTGACAGACTGGCTTGGAAGCTCTAAATATTGCAAATGGCATCATGGGAAACATTAATAGAATATTACAACCAATATTCCACGGCTTTGATCTCCATGCATGGCAACCCTCAAAAATATATGCTTCAGTCCAGCATATTTTCCAGCCTTCTTTCTGGGTGCACAACCCCCCAGCCCAATCAAACAGGTATTCAACCATTGGGGAAGTCTTTGACTCTTAAAGCAAGACTCTTAAAGTAAGCTTCAATAACAAAAGGACTAGCTATTTTTGGAGTTATCTATCTATCCTTTCCTGAGCAAAAATAACACTCTATAGGAATTTTGTGATATTCCAGTATGTCCCCCCATCATCTAGCAAGATCATCATAACGATGAGTGCAAAGGAAAAGGCTGAGTAGGACTGACCTGTGCTTAGCTTTGAAAAACAATATAAAGTGACCTCAAAACTATAAAGTGCTCTCCAATAATCTAAAATATGTAGCCAAAGCACCAGAGGACAACATAATTGTGGGTTTACAGTGTACTAGTTTGATCCAGATTTTTAAAAATTGAGCTTCCTGCCTCTGTACTTTCTTGCACTAATGCATGGGACAGGAAGGCATTGGAGGAAGCTAGGGAGAGGACACAAATACCCCTCTGCAAGGTGCCAAAGATCCTAGTGTTAATAAGCTTGAAGGTAGCAACCTATCTCTTTAAAGCCTTAAACAAAAATTCTGCACATCTACAAAAGTTTGCACAACTCCAGAACGGGCATAAAAACAGTAAGTCATGACAAAGTCCCCCTTTCTATTCTCTCGAGGAAGCTGGTAAAAGGTTGGTTGAACCAGGTACCGTATTTTTCGCTCCCTAAGACACACCTGACCATAAGACACACCTAGTTTTTAGAGAAGGAAAACAAGAAAAAAAATATTCTGAATGAAACAGTGGATGTATGATTTTTGTGGCTTATGCTGTGGCCACAGACATGATATGTGATTTGACAGTGAGTTTGGGGTAGCCCAATGTAAAAATCCTGAGAATCCTTTGTGGCTTTGTAGCCACGTTTTTGCGCCACTGCGGCCCCACGCAACAGTGGGTGCATGATTTCTTTGGTGCAGGCTGTAGCCATGGACATGCTATGTGATCTGATGGTGAATTTGGGGTGACCCAATGCAAAAATCCTGAGGATCCATGTGCTTTTACCACCCCCTCCCAGGCAGCCTCCTTTATTGCTAGCAACCCTTATCTCCCTCCTGATCACTTGCTGATCAGTGGCTTCCTTCTTGTTTGCCTTAGCGTCATTTCTTTAGCTGGAGCAGTTTTTTGCTCCTCCTTTTCTTCTAATTTCTCTCCTCGTTGCTTGTTTTAGTATTCCTGTCTCCTCTCCTTGCAAGTTTGCTGTCTTTACCTTCCCCCTCCCAGGCAGCCTTCTTTATTGCTAGCGTCCCTTATCTCCCTCCCGATCGCTTGCCTATCAGCGGCTTCGTTTCAACACCCCCTTCCCACTTTCTAAAAAAAAAGCACGATCTGCTTTTCACCCCTGGGCTCCAGGGACTACGCATATGCTCCATAAGACGCACAGACATTTCCCCTTACTTTTTAGGAGGGAAAAAGTGTGTCTTATGGAGTGAAAAATACGGTAACTGTTAGGTGGATTTGTAGCTGGTTGACTGACTGAACCCAAAGAGTATTCATTAATGGTTCCTCATCATCCAGGGGAAAGGTGACAAGTGGGGTGCCACAGGCTTCTGTCCTGGGCCCATTGTTGTTCAAAGTCTTTATAGATGACTTGGATGAAGGAATTGAGGGGATGCTCATCAAATTTGCAGATGACACCAAACTGGGAGGGGTAGCTAAAGACAGAATCAGAATTCAAAATGACCTTAACAGATTGGAGAACTGGGCACAAGCTAACAAAATGAATTTCAATAGGGACAAATGTAAGATTCTGCACGTAGACAGGAAGAAGCAGATGCACAAATATAGGATGGGGGACACCTGGCTTACTAGCAGTACATGTGAAAAGAATCTAGGGGTCATGGTTGACCACAATCTTAAGATGAGTCAATAGCACGATACAGCAGCAAAGAAAAGCTGCATCAACAGAAGTATAGTGTTCAGTTCAAGGGAAGTCATAAAGGTAAAGGTAAAGGTACCCCTGCCCATACGGGCCAGTCTTGAGAGACTCTAGGGTTGTGCGCTCATCTCACTCTAGAGGCCGGGAGCCAGCGCTGTCCGCAGACACTTCCGGGTCACGTGGCCAGCGTGACGAAGCTGCTCTGGCGAACCGGCACCAGAGCAGCACACGGAACGCCGTTTACCTTCCCACTATAAAGCGGTACCTATTTATCTACTTGCACTTAAGGGTGCTTCCGAACTGCTAGGTGGGCAGGAGCTGGGACCGAACGACGGGAGCTCGCCCCGCCGCGGGGATTCGAACCACCGACCATGCGATCAGCAAGTCCTAGGCGCTGAGGTTTTACCCACAGCGCCACCCACGTCCCGCCAAGGGAAGTCATAGTATCACTCTATTTTGCCTTTGTCAGACCACACCTGGAATACTGTGTCCAATTCTGGGCACCACAATTTAAGATGTATGTTGACAAGCAGGAACATGTGCAGATGAGGGGGACCAAGATGATCAAGGGTCCGGAAACAGCCTTATGGGTATATTTAGCCTGGAAACAGCGCTGGGTATATTTAGCCTGGAAAAGAGGGGACTGAGAGGAGATATGATAGCCATCTTCAAATATCTGAAGGGAGGGAGCACGCTTGTTTTCTTCTGCTCTGGAGGGTAGAACTCAAACCAATGGCTTCAAGAAGGGAGACTCCAACTAAACATTTGGAAAAACTTTCTGATAGTAAGAGCTGTTCAGCAGTGGAACAGACTCCCACGAGAGGTGGTGGACTCCCCTTCCTTGGAGGTTTTTAAACAGAGGTTGGATGGCCATCTGTCGTGGATGCTTTAGCGGAGATTCCAGCATTGCAGGGAATTTGATTAGATGATCCTTGGGGTCACTTCCAACTCTAAGATTCTATGATTCCATAACATAATTTCAGTTCAGCTTTTTGAATTTTGAATCTTGTTGAACTTTCATTTTAGAGGTTTAAATTACAAGGCTACACAAACAACAAAAAACACGACCCAACCATAAGTACTTGTAATCGTTCCCAATGAGATAAACAGAATTGTTTAAACACATGCTTAACTCATCCTACTGGAGTATATGGCTCTGAGAAAACCATCTCTCCCCTTCTTCAGATTGTCCTGAGAATGTTGCTATGTCAGGACACGCCATTGTTCCCATGAAGCACTGTGTCCCAAATTACAAAAGGAATGCCTCAAGCCACCATCAGAATGTAACTTCATGCCATTGATTAAATTTTAAAACCTTATAAAAAAAACCCTGATTAATAGAAAAAAATGGGGGGGGGGATCTTTGGCCACCATGTGTTTGGTCCATGTCCACTCAAACATTCTTACAGATCGTGCCCCCTGAAGAACAAGTTGTTGTATGAGGGATTATTATTATGACCGGAATGTAATTGAAATTAATATGATTTTGGAATATAGAAATATAGAAAATCATCAAATCTAGCATGCGGGGGCCACTTTATCTAAATTATATAATTTGGTATTTGAGTGATTGGTATTAATAATTGTATCATAAATTGGTATTGTTATAATGAGGCTATTATTGGACTGTAATTGAAAACTAATTAGAAAAATTATTTTTAAAAAAACTTAATCCAAATCTGGGCTCAATTATTTGGTGTAGAACTACCTAAAACCTTAAATGTGGGTGGATCCTGCTCCTAAATTTTAATAAATTGTTGATGAAATTTCAATAAATTGTTGATGAACTGAAAGCAATAATCTTAAACATGGCTAAGTTCAGTACAGTTGCACTTTTTCTTTTCCATGCACTCCAGTTCAACTTTATCAATGCTGGATAAAATTGAAATTAGGAGAGATCCACGGCAGGAGGTTTTGCCTGAGGACCCTGCTCTCCACTCTTATCACTTACATTTCAGATTTCTCCCTTTGCTTCTCATTTGGGTGGTATCCTGCTTTGTTTGAAGCTGCCTTCCACTTGAGAGAGCCTTTGCACACCTTATGGGAGAAGCCGGCACATGGTAAAAATCCAGTGCAACCTGTGCCTGCAACCTGTGAAAGGCAACATCTGTGAGAACACGTGGAAGGAAGCACAAATTGCCTTAGCTCCATGGCAGTGGGGCCTGGTCCTTTACAATAAACAGAGCACCACCCTACCAACCTTAGTTTGCCCTCAGCTGCCTGTCTTTTTCCTTACAATGCAACTACCCGTCAGGTTCCTTCTCCTTATTCTCAGCATTGTCTTTGTAGAACTCAGGACAGAGGATGGGGACAAAGCTAGAATTAGTTGAGCTTTCCACCATTCCAGAGCCAACGGGCACCAGCCACCACTGCTGCACAGTGTGCATTTCTGTGGTGTAGGCAGCAGCGGTGTAAGCAGGGTGGCGCACTTGCTTTGCAGCCATGGGAGCGGGGCAAGCCAAGGCAGGGCACGCTGCATGGAGCCTCTCCGTAGCCTCCCCCTCAGCTGTAGGGCGGCTGAGGCGGTGGGCAGACCCAAGCCCCAGGCTGCTCGAAAAATCAGGGCAGGCAGTCCACCCCTCACTTCCCCCTCACAGGAGAGACGCGTGGCTCAGGCACGCTGCAGGCCCCCCCCACCTCACCCAGCTATGCCTCTGGATTAGGCAGATTCATGGAGGAGAGGGATGTCGAAGCCATAAAGGCTGCGCTCTGCTTGCAAAGTTGGAGGCAGCAATGCTTCTGGTTTCTGGAAATCACTTGGGGGAGAGGGCTCTGCAGTGGCACCCTGGGTGCAGTGGGTGCGGGAGTTATTTTTTCAAAAACACATATTTTTGCCATTTTGTCACCCCCCTCAGTGATGACACCCGGGATGGTCCGCATGCCACTGGGTGTAGGTGGGGCAGAAAGGAGATGTAACCAGCTCAAACAATATGCGCTAGAACAAGCAAGCACTTATACTTTGTAGCAATGTTTCTCAAACCTGGACCTTCAGCTGTGGTTAGACTACAACTCCCAACATCCCTGATCACTGATTGCGGTGATGGGAGTTGTAGTCCAACAACAGCTGGAGGCTCAAATTTGAGAAACACTGCTTTATAGGATGAAATAGGTTCTTAATTCTTTTAGCTAAGGACTATTTACTCTGACTGGCAATGGCTCTCCAAAGTCTCAGACAAGAATCTCTCCCAGTCCTGTTGTCCGATATTCTTTAAACTTAAGATGCCAGGGAATGAGCCTGGGTCCTTATACAAGCAAAACCTCTGAGTGACAGCCTACCATACACTACCCTTACCAGACTGCAGTTCTTTTCTTCTTTACAGAGGTGCATAAATCAATTGGTTAACATTAAAACTTTTTTGATCAGTTCCTACTAGGGCTGGAACAGATTCTGCAGTTTGGCTTTCAGTTTATGCAGGCACTTTGTCAGTGAAACCTCCATATCCTCAGAGTGAGATGCAAAGGGGAGGGAAGGACAAAGCAAGGCCTCAATCCAGGCACAATCTGAATATGGGCAGTTGCAATCTATTATTGATCTCCCGCTGAGCTGTTTTGATCTTTTTGCATGATTCAGACTAAAGAGGAGGACTAAGTCTGAGCTTGTTAAGGTGACAGAAAGGCTTGCAATTTGGTAAGGCATCCAAGAATCAGTTTTCCACTTTGAACCCATATAGGTGGCCCAAAGACACCAAACTGGGAGGGGTGGCTAACACCCCAGAGGACAGGATCACACTTCAAAATGACCTTGACAGATTAGAGAACTGGGCCAAAACAAACAAGATGAATTTTAACAGGGAGAAATGTAAAGTATTGCACTTGGGCGGAAAAAATGAGAGGCACAAATACAAGATGGGGGACACCTGACTTGAGAGCAGTACATGTGAAAAGGATCTAGGAGTCTTGGTTGACCACAAACTTGACATGAGCCAACAGTGTGACGTGGCAGCTAAAAAAGCCAATGCAATTCTGGGCTGCATCAATAGGAGTATAGCATCTAGATCAAGGGAAGTAATAGTGCCACTGTATTCTGCTCTGGTCAGACCTCACCTGGAGTACTGTGTCCAGTTCTGGGCACCACAGTTCAAGAAGGACACTGACAAACTGGAACGTGTCCAGAGGAGGGCAACCCAAAATGGTCAAAGGCCTGGAAACGATGCCTTATGAGGAACGGCTAAGGGAGCTGGGCATGTTTAGCCTGGAGAAGAGGAGGTTAAGGGGTGATATGATAGCCATGTTCAAATATAGAAAAGGATGTTACATAGAGGAGGGAGAAAGGTTGTTTTCTGCTGCTCCAGAGAAGCGGACACGGAGCAATGGATCCAAACTACAAGAAAGAAGATTCCACCTAAACATTAGGAAGAACTTCCTGACAGTAAGACAGTGGAATTTGCTGCCAAGGAGTGTGGTGGAGTCTCCTTCTTTGGAGGTCTTTAAGCAGAGGCTTGACAACCATATGTCAGGAGTGCTCTGATGGTGTTTCCTGCTTGGCAGGGGGTTGGACTCGATGGCCCTTGTGGTCTCTTCCAACTCTATGATTCTATGATTCTAAGAGTGAGAGATTCATTCTATCAATAAACCCAACATACTATAATGTTAAGATAGAATCATAGAATCATAGCCTCCTACTTCTTTGAGTCACGTTTCTCCATATATCTGGCTCCTGTGTTGGTGTACTAGCCTCCTTGTCAGGGGAGTCCCCTGTCTCCTCCTTGGTGGAGACGTTGTGCTCTGTTGCTTCCAAGAAAAGCTCCAGCTCCCTAATTCTTTGGAGCTGACCTTGTAGTCTACACAACTCACCCTAACATGTAAAAGGTGTGGGATGCAAGCCACTAAATATTGACCACACATGCTTCTTGAAAACTAACAAAAGGCTGAGCACCAATTCTTATAAATTCTCTGTTACAAGCCAATGGAACTTGCAAAGTAAGTATTATGTAGAATTGCACTGTATGGTGTAATCCTGAAATTTTATTTGTAATCTCACTGATTTAATGGCATTAGAATTGCATTTATGGCTTCCAAATTTGGATTGCTTTATTCCAAGAAGGAATAGCAAACATGATAATTCTCTCTTCAAACATGATAATTCAAACTTTCCAGTACTGCTAATTGTTTCCTTCTTAGCTCTTATAATATGCAATCAGGGCTACGCTTTACAGGTAAAGGTAAAGGGACCCCTGACCGTTAGGTCCAGGCACAGACGATGCTGGGGTTGTGGCGCTCATCTTGCTTTACTGGCCGAGAAAGCCAAAGTTTGTTCGCAGACAGTTTCCAGGTCATGTGGCCAGCATGACTAAGCCACTTTCTGGTGAACCAGAGCAGCGCACGGAAACGCTGTTTACCTTCCCACCGGAGCGGTACCTATTTATCTACTTACACTGGGGTGCTTTCGAACTGCTAGGTTTGCAGGAGCAGGGACTGAGAAACAGGAGCTCACCCCGTCGCGGGGATTCGAACCACCGACCTTCTGATCGGCAAGCCCTAGGCTCTGTGGTTTAACCCACAGCGCCACCTGCGTCCCTCTGTTTTGCTTTGCTCAATGCCTTTTTACAATTCTTTAGCAGCATTTGTACTAAAACACTCAGCTGGAGACAAGTGCTAGAGAAGAGCAAGATTTACTTAGAAATAGTGCAGACTGCATGCCTTTCACTCTCATTTGTGAGTTCTGCACTTTTGAAGTCTCTTGGATTGTCAAAGGAAAGAACATAAGGCCCTGCCTATAGTACAAACCTGATTCTGAATTGGAAACTAGAGCTGATCTCCCTTCACCACAGCAAAGTCACATGAATTCCAAGCAGAACCAATGATGGCCACAATCTAGATCAGAAGATGCATATTGATGAAATATTCCTGTGTCAGTGGGGAATCTGTTTGTCTCCAACTCCCATCAGTCCCATCAGCCCTAGCCAACATGACCAATGGTCAGGGATGGTGGGAGGCTGTCCATTCATACAGTAGGGGAACCCTATCTGAGAAACATGTTGTACAGGAAAAAGAGAAAGGAGGAGCTGAAGCCAAATTTTTTTTAGCAGTTTTTCCTGTGGTTTATGGACAGTAACAATATCATTACATTTTTTCTAGACAGTTCATCTCAAAGCTGTTTACCCCCTGAAATTAATCTCTAACACTAGTTCTAAAATATCATATTTTCTCCTCAACTCTCTCCTTAGAACATGAATTTTAAAACACAGTTAAAGACCACCGTTAGTTGAATTCTCTACTTGCAGCCACATTAATAGGGAACATCTAAATTCAAGAGTAAAGAAATAACTTCCAGTTAATGTTGTCAGTGGTTATGTGCATAAATTTCAAGTTCTCCCAGCTGCAGGTTCATTTGTGCTCTATTTTATAAATAAGGAATTGCACAGCTGACAGCAACATTTCTATTAGCCTTAATACTTGTCTCTGCAACCCTCTTTTTTTTAAAGAGAAAAAGAATGCTTCTTTGAGGGTGATTTTGTTCATCTTTCAATGCAAATTAACTTGCCATAACATTATTGCCTCCTCCAATGACATATTTACGGTAATTAGATTGAAGAGAGAGAGAGCAAAAATTCCAAACAAACATAACAAATTATGCTGGCCAGCAAAGGTGACAACAAAGAACTTCTACAGATTCCGAATGAGGCTGTTGGATTCTGTGTTAATAAATTATTTCCTCTGTTTCTTGGTTGCTCCATTAGTTTTACAAGGATTCATATGGTGGCATTCAAAACAACAGAACCAAATTCTGCCATGCCTATGCATCTGCTGGCAGCCAAC